CCGGTGGTCAGCTTCACTAACACACCGGTTCGCTTGATTTCAAAATTTATTCTCAATCTCCTTAAGCTGCTAACAGACTTCAGTCCTAGACATGGATTCAACCACTCCTCCTCGCACTCGTGGATCAAATGAACTCCCTCAACATATCACGAGAATCTCTCCTTGTTTCTTTTGACGTCTCCAATCTTTTCACCACAGTTTCCAAATCTGAAACAGTAAATTTGGTGGGAGACATTCTTTCACAAAATAGGGTCAGTGACCCAACAAAATCAACGTTATTTCCTTACTTAACCTTTGCCTATCACAGGACTTCTTCTCTTTTAATAACAAGTTCTACAAACAACCTGATGACCTAGTAATGGGTAGCTATCTTTCACCTTTCTAGGCAGATGTTTTTATAGATCATTTGGAATCTACAAAAATTGTCAACGGTAACAACAAAGAAATTTTAAACTGGTTTAGTTATTAGACGACTGCCTGTGTTTTCTGAAATGTGATGAAATTGGTGCCACAAACTCACGTCAAAATTAACATCGTACAACCCAACCTCTTATTCACGATGGAAGCCGAAAAATACAGACAAATTAACTTCCTCGACAACACAATAAAAGTTTCAACCGAGGGTTTCATATTTTCCATCTACAGAAAACCAACAAAAATCGACCATCTGATTTCGAATACTTCAAATCATCCGCACCAACACAAAATGGCGGCGGGACCTCTATTGTCGCCACTTTATGTAAAGTCAGAACTTTTCCTGCACAACACACTGACAGCTTCAAATTTGTTTCCTTACCTCATGTTGATCCAGTTTTCAATAATGGGTAATTTTCATTTTTTTATACCCATTCCAACGAGCTATCACAATACATATCTTTATATTTGAAAAAAAAAGTTGGGGGTGGTTTCTACCCTTAGGGAAGGGGTAAATTCCATGGAAAGGCCGATAAAATGTGCCAAACTAGAAATAAAGGCACCCGTTTTTTTTCATTTTTCCAGAAAATAAACAGGCTTTCTGATACTGAATTTATTCCATTTAAAAATTCCACACTGTATACATATTTACAACTGCTCTATCATGAATTTCTTCTTCGCTTGCTTGCGATAGTACTGATGATGGCGAAAGCCGAAAGCGCTTTACTACGCTAAATTTCAATGAAGAAAATTTGCATGAAACACACTTTGTTTCTTTCCTATTTAGTTTTAGAACTTTGATATTATTGCTAAGAACATTTGGCCGCTCGGGTACTTTGATACTCAACATAACCATCCGAACGATTGTTAGAATATTCAACTGATGTAACATTTCAACCCTGTGCTAATCGATTCACAAGAATTATTTCTCTAATGGTCGAAAATCTTGCTCAGATAGTACCGAAACGATTCTCCTTGTTAATCTGGAACCCCTCAGCTACTCAATGAGCCTTTTTCGAACCATCCTATTTGGTACTAAATACCCATCTGGTGTTTATGATCAATTTATTATCTGATGCAAGCTTACATGCAGTTCAAGTTGTCTTTCGTGAAAAGCATTGAAAATAATCAAGTTTGAACCCATGTGATAACTCGTAGGTTTATATTCAGCTCAAATTCAAGTCTTATTAAAAAAAAAGTGCTCGTATTTCCTCAATTGATAGTTCGATGGCGTTACCAAGAAATCACACTTTTATTTTACATATCTCGTAATCAATCAGCGTATTTTACCGATATAAAATAAATGTCTTTTTAATCGTCCCACGGTCAATTAGCTGCTGCTAATATATAGGGACCCCCACGCTGCCCACACACCGGTAATTTTTCCAAAACAGACCGACTCTATGCGATTTTCTAAGATTCTACGAAATAATTAACATATTAACAGAAACACCTGCAGTTATTCAACCATGGCGAATTTTTCCCGTGAAAAGTTCTCTCTATTTTATAATAAGTATGTCATGTAATAAGCGAGTGTTGTATAAATTGAAGTGTTCGTAATAACATGGGGCCCCTGTCTGTAATTTTCATTTCATTTTGAGTTCATATTGTTTATGGTCGGGTACTAAGTATTGTTGTGAAATGGGTTGGTCTGTAGCTTATTTTAAATGAAATCTAATTAAATAAGCAATTAGGCTAATTGTATGATTTTATGTTTTCATGCTACCAAGATTGAGAAATCAATTGAGTTGCTTTTTTTTGTATTGGTAGGTCATGAAAATTACAGAAAATAATAAGGAGTTGGTTCAGCAATTTTGCTACTAAATGATAGCTACTTATATTTAATAAACTTGCATTGCAAACAAAACTAATCACTGTTTTCATTTCCTTTATAAGGTAAAGTTTTGATTTTTCATTTGATGATTGACCTTGTAAAACAATCCGTGATTTATTGTTCCTTTTATTTTTACTGGACAACTTTCTCAATCCCAATCATACAATATTGGCAATTTTAATTTCTCCAGTACTATGCTCATAGCATTCTTCATTAGACCTTTAGACCTTCCTATGGTCCACGACTATCTCATTCACTATTTGGTGTCCCGGATCACTTTCATGTACGCATTTGAACGAGTTTCAATTTGCATTTCGGGAAAACAATATGAACATCACCTAGAAATTCCAGCATGTTACACATACTTATAACATAAACCCTCTGGGCCCAAAACCTTATGAAAATATGCGATCCTGAAAGCTCGCAGCTCTTACTGCTCTGAGAGTACTCTCAAAGCATAACAGCTAGATGATAACCCACTAGTGAAAGCCACAATATGCTGCTCAAACTTCAGATTCTCGTCCACTGTAACTGCAAGAAACTTAGCACAGGCGGTGGGATGAATAAAATAACCACATAAGGAGATATTGGATAATGAGCCCTTGAAGTTCAACATATTGGTCCTAGATAAATTGAAGGATAGATTGTTGCTGTCGCACCAGGTTTTCATCAAATTTAAATCGGCATTATTCATGCGTGCCAAGAATTCTTCACTGTTCGCATGCCAGACAGTGGACGTGTTGTCAGCGAAAAGTCCAATATTCCCCCCCGACCTTAAGTACGACTGAAACCAATTCAGAGTCACATCTCTAAAATCATTCACTTCAAGCTTACGGAGCAACACAAAGCACACGAAAGCCTTCGAAAAGTCACAAAACACCGCTGCTGAAACGCGATTCTCATTTGTACTCAAATAGATATCTTCCAGAAGGGAGTTATTCCTTTACCACACTGTTTAAATTTAGGAATTAAAGAACTCTACCAGTTATTCGTTTACCACACTGTTTAAATTTAGGAATGAAAGAACTCTAATTTTGACCAGTTTCTCAATCAGCTTAGCAAGAAGAGAAATAGGACGGAGATTTGCTGGAGAGTTTGAGTCTCCCCCTTTGTGAAGAGGTACAACAACTTCATCCTTGAGGATATTAGGAAATATACCCTTGTCTCCTTTATACCCTCCTAACGCACGTAAACCCCTATTGTTATAAGATGGAGTAATAGTTTATTAGATATGTCATCATAGCCCGAGGAACTTTTGTTTTTAAAGGTTATAAGGGTTTCTTTGATCTCAGGAACATTGACTGGTGCCAAGAAGATGTAATTTGAGACGTTCTTGTGTGTCAAATAGTCTTGGCCTGGGACAAAAGAGCTCCAGCTATACAGCAAAAGAAAATATTTATTGTTAGGGGACAGGTTGGATGAATTGATTGGTATATCTACATATTTAAATATTCCAAAGTGACAATGATTTTTTTTTGTACGGAAAAAAAGCTGAAAGTTCGATCGAAAAGACCATAATTGCTTTGTTATTTTTTCAACAGTTCACCTGTCTGGTTTATAGGAGGATAAAAACGTCCGCTAATAGAAAAACATGATTTCAATGTGTATGAATGTTCTCAACTGAAATTAAATATCCACGGAATTGAAAGGAAAGGATCTAGGTAAATGAATACCTGTCATCTAAATACTAGCTATAATCATAAAAAATGAAAGGAAACCAAGTCTATTATGTCGCAAATAAATGCGCTTTACGATATTTGATAGTCGTCGTGTAAATAGGATTACAATCTTTGTACAGTTACATTTTAATGCTTCCTCGAACGACTTTTGTACTTAGTTTGACGGTAAATCATTAAAAAATTGGTCTGACAAGAAACGACTGTGGCTTACATTCTAACGAAACTTCAATCGCTGATTCCTGATGTTTCCTCATTGATGATCTCCATTTAATTGATCGCCCATTTTTAAACACCTCTAACACCACCCAATAAAATCTCTAGTTAAAATCTAACGATTCTCCTGCAATATACCGTTCCGCGATGCTCTCAATCAAGGCTAACGGCTTTTTCAAGAATTATCGCCCTTATTTGGATTAATTGATGTTGAGATCGCGATATGGCTGGCAACCTTTATAAGGTGAAACTGATAAATGGACAGTCATGATAGCTTCGGATTTATATAATATCAAATTATTGCCTTTAAATGGTTTTTAATGAAAGTTTCTGGTATCGTGATTTGGTATATGTTTTAATTATGGACTTTACGAAAATTCTGAATGAGTCACACCAGAATTGAGTGATATTCCATAAAAAGGATGAAATTACAATTTTTGGCAGAGATAATGTAACAAACTGGTGAAGATTAAAGAAGAAGAGGACCTAAGGCATATCATGCTGGCACGAGGGGAAGAAGAAGAAGAATAACTAGAAGGGGGACACACCACCCAAGGACCATTCCCGGCCTCTGAAGGCGAGAAGTTGCAACAATAGTTGAACGAGTTGAGTTCTATATTGACTCCAAAAGTCACATATGCCATGTCATGTCTGATCCTGTTTTAAAGAGTGGGCCTAAAACCCAGGAGGTACTTAAAATCCTCCTGGTGGGCCTTGAATATTGCGCTCAGTTACATGTATTCAAAAACTTTAATTCATTGTTTAGCCTTGTGTAATCAGTTCTTTATTTTGAACTAGCCCTTATCGATACAAATAGTTTTACTGGTCATCATATTTCCTGAATAATACTAGTTTCTTACTCTTATCCTTAAATGAATTATCATTCTTAATAACTGCTAGGGTGGAGCGAAAAACATCTAGTTTGTCTATGTTTCTGAAAAAGCTGATTAGGTTTGCTAGCTCCACATCCTCAATGCCTCCCAATGGGCCTTCATCCTCTTGGGCATTGCGTAGGCTGCATGTGGCAACATCCGATTCTCCTGTAGTGAGACATTTTCAATTACCATGCTGGTCACTCTTATTGAATTTTATGCTCAAGTTTTGCCTTTCGTGTACGTTAGGAAACATTCTATGGGTGATACTTCTTTTATCAGTTTCGTTCCATATGATTTTCCATTTGTGTAGTGTCCTCTCCTTGACTTCAAGACCTGCCTTGTTTATATCTTTTCATTTCAAGTGCCAGCATTAGATGGTCCATTGGCGGGATGTTTGCCAAAATAAATGCTGCTTCTGACGATTTCGTGACTCAATAATAGTTTCGGCTACTAGTCATTCTATGGAGTTGAGTTTACTGTGCTTGGTATGGCATGTTTAATGTAATAGTTTAGCTTCTTCTTCTTCATACTGTTGCGGTTCAATTTCCATTTGTTTCATTAACAACATTTTTATGATTTTTTTTATTGTTATGAGATTTATTTACATCATAGGAAATTGTTGAGAATTAGATATTCATTCATCCAGCTTCTTCTCAATAATAATTTTTCAGTGTATTTAGCTGTTTGTTGGGTTTTTCTTCAAATGTATACACAAGTCCTTGGCCGGTCCGTCATATCGAGTCCTAAAATGATATTTTTATGTTCATATTATATTATTTATGCTGCGCATGAATATTCTTTGTAGGCCCCACTTTGGGCGCCAATTAATGTTACCCTCAAAGCTGTTAAATTGTGGGAAACAGCAATAATGGTCGACAACTATTAAAAATCTAGGATGTTGAACTAGCTCAGTTCACTTGAGAAACAGTTTTATAGTCATCGCCATTTCAGCATGATGAGAAAGGTTCAGGTACATGGGTTCATACCGTATCTTGGCTAGGTATTCCAACAATAAAAGTCATAGTTGATAACAATAGAAATATGAATTTAATAACAAATAATCATAAAAAAATACAATCAAATATCAATGATCACTTAACCATCAATCAAAGAATGCTCATTGTAGTACACCGTACCATTAGGACATGGTTAACAACCCCTCCTTACATCTAATTCCTCTTTTATGTGCATGACGTCATACCACCCCCATTGACAAGGAAATCCTAGCTAATCTCAATATGCTGAGAATTTTTCATGTAGATACTATTAAAAATAAACCAGAATGTGCACCGACTCTTGATATAACCTAATTGGAAACTACAATTACCCTTAACAGAATGCGGTTACCAAAATGGGCCATTAAGCATTAAAAGTTTGGCTCGGACAGATCAACATGCTAGTTTGTTACTAACTCCGGGTGCTTTACATAAGACGGCCATGAGCCACAATAAACTATGTTTTAGTTGCTACTTTACGGTTTGCCTGTGTCTTGTACTGGTTGCTAGTTGCTCGGAGCCCACACATACGCCTAGAGTAGAATGCCAACCACTGTACGCTGAGCTTTGGTACTCCAAAACAAAAATCGACAAGGCACCATAAGACCCACCGGTTTCAGGGCAGAACAGGTGGAGCAGTTATGAGATTCATTTACATCATAGGAAATTGTTGAGAATTAGATATTCATTCATGGGTTTACTTTACTGGAGTACGGTACATGATCGGGTTGTTCATGTGACCTGCATTCAGTCGACGTATTTTTGTTCCAGGTGATTTTGATAGATCGGGCATTAACAGGTATTGACATTGACCTGCGTCTGCGTATTGATGTTCCTGCTAGGAATTGACCTAAAATCTGTTTTTTTTTAAAGATAATTCCCCAAGTCAAAAATTTAGTAACTATGTTGGCAACACAAGCCTTTTCTACATAAAAAATTTGGAAGCATTGACAATTTTACATTGTATTGCCAACATAATGTCATTTTGACTTTTATCTTTAAAAAAAAAACAGACTTTATCTTTTATTACCTTGACTGCGCGCGCAACTCGTGGTTTGCAGGTAAGCGTCCAATGAGAAGCGAGTTTGTTACGGGCTTGCGTCATATTCTTATTCAGGAGCCAGTTCAGACTTAATCGTTCCTTCTTTCTTTGTAAGGTGAAATTCGACAAAGAGCAAACTAATACCTTACGTATTACTTCTGAACTCACCGCAGTGTTGTTTCAAATTATGTCAGATTATACTTGACATCTTCCTTTGCACTTTCATTGTGCGATGTTGCCCGATGAAAGATTTTTCAAAATGAAAGTGCAAACGATGTTAAATTACTCTTTAAAGCTCGTCTTTTGTCTGATTTAAAGCGTTGTAAAACACGTTGTAAAAAATCTATTTTTATTATAATAATGTTCGATTTGTATTGTCTAGATTTGTTCTGCTACAATACAATCTGGCTACACTGCAACCCACTAGTTGCGCGCGCAACTCATCTTTTATTACTTTCTAATATGTATTTATTACAATTAAGCTCTCTTTTTCTATTTATGCGAGACAGGTCAATTGAGGGTTGCAAAATTTCCTGTTTCCTTCTTCTCGTTTCAACCGCCATCCAGAATCCTTATTCTTAAAACAGGGGAGCAGCGCTCCCAGGAGAATGAGTGTTTCGTCTTTGTTACTTACATTATCATTCGTATATCATTGAGAAAGACGGAACACTCGCTCTCTTGGGAACGCTGCTTCCCTGTTTCAAGAATAAGGACCCTGAAACAATGAAGTATAAACTACACGTACCTGGAATGGCCCGCCGATCCATAAATTTGCGGCAAATTGAGATGGAGAATGTGGGGTAAACCTATCTCTATTTATCTTATCGGCGAATTATAGAAATCTTTCTTTGTCTAAAAAATAATATATTTGAGGTTAGGAATATACCAAACCTAACAGCAATAAACTGTAGAGAGAAAGGTATCCCCCACTATGTACCTTTTTTGGACGCACTAAGCGAGATGACAAATGCCATATGCGACAACAGTCGGTGCCATTCCAGATACGTGTAGTTTTATAGTTCATTGCCCTGAAAAGACGAACCCTTTCCGACGTTGGTAAAATTTGGGGCGTGTGGCGTTGTGAGCATTCCAGTTTTGGGATTTCTCCTCAAATTTCAATAGTAAAATTTCGCTGTGACTGTGGATGATGTTTATTCCATGAAATAAGCTTTGTGCTGGTGGATGTTTGCGGATTTGTTTTGTGTGAAATTTTACAAACCTCGTAGAGGGATTTTGAGACGTCAGCAAGTCACTCTATTTAAGTAAATCCAACTCTATTCCTACCTTGTTTTTCTTTATCATTGATTAGGATCGTACTTACCAGTGCTTGTGGCACTAGTTCACCAGAATGTTTGTGATCCTGTGGCTGATATCTGAATGCCTTAGTGCCCTTTCCATCCGTGGAATATACGACGGTGTATCCCTGATTGGAAAGGTATCCAGGCTCCAGGTTTTTGGTGATTTTTGTCAATTGGTCGTCAGTCATTGCTTCTACATGATCTCTCCAATGCCTTCTTCTTCCTGGCCCATCTTACAATATCCCGTAACTTTGCAGAGGTATGTCTAATTTCCTTGTTTCTTCATATAGTGTGCGTCCAGTTAGCGACCTTAGAACTCGCATTCAGTTTTTCTTAGCAGGCGCTTGGTAGTTGCGTTTTCCGCTCTCGTTTCTTCGTCGTATATCATCACTGGTTTTACAGACGTTTTATAGATTCTAATTTTGCTTTCCGTCGTCATATGTTTCTTCCTCCAGATAATATCTTGTAAGTATACCCACATATTAAGGTAGCTTTTGATGTTTGAGCTCTCAGCAACTCCTTTAGATTCCTATTACTTGTTATGTTATGTTTGCTCTAAAATAATTGAAGACCATCACTTGTTCCACACTTTGATTGTAAACGGCGAGTTTACATCTTCCTGGCTCTTTGGAAATGGAAAGGAACTGTGTTTTCTAGGTGGAAATTTGCATTTTTAATTTTTTTTTGCTATTTGTTCGAACCTGTATAGAAGTCTTTGGTAGGTTGTCTTCATTTTCGGAGATCATAACCGCATCGCCAGCGTAGCACATTATTTCCCTTTCTTCAGTGTGTACGACAAAAAATATTTAAGTTTCGTTATCTCAATTCCCCCAAGGCAATTATTATGTTAAGAGAAATTGCTTAACTTCCGAAGCAGGCTTCACCCCCTAGTGACCCCTGACCGCGAAATTAGATAATAATAATTGTAAACATCAAAATATTCATGCAGAGAGCAATTAAAAAGCTTAATTATCACTTGAGGAAGTAGGTAGTTCTACAATTTTTACAGTCTGCTCAAACCTAGTACCTACCTATGTCTTTAGGTTTTACATTGACTAGCAATAAGAATGCTTCATTATTGCTCTTTCTTAAAGCATAAAAGTTTATTGAGCTAAGCTAAGTATACACAGACATTTTATTGAAATCTCGCTTCTGCTTAAAAGTACCATAGTCAAAGAAGAAGATGTTGGGCGTAAAATGTGTTTTCTGGCGCGTAAACTACCCAGCTATAAGAGTACACATACTGCGTTAATAATAGTCTTCTTCGAATAAGGAGATGGCAGCTTGAGGTGGCCAAGCCAAGGTCCTGTCCAGTCATTTTCACCGCGTGGGAGTATCGTAATGGTGATTTTATGTCTGTTTACATCGAACTTGTTTATTATTGCTTCAAGCACATGGGTTCTTAATATTATATGGTATTTAACTGAATAGATAGATGTTATACAACTTAATTGTTACGAGAATTGATATTTTTAGAATATTTGGTAATAAAAGGGAAATTTTGATATTTTATTATGTCGTTAAAGAATTGATGATGCATATAGTTTAAAATTTATGTTACAAGTGAAATAGTGAAACTATATAAAAATATGTTGCCTGTTGCTGTTGAGAGTTCTGTTCGAGAACAACTTTCCTTTTGAAACCACATGACTATCACCTATAACATCTTGCGAAGCTCTCGAGATTTTCGTATATTGGCTGTTATATTATGTATTTTGCTCGAGTCTCCCTTCAAATGATTTTTCTAGCTAGAAAAATATTCAATATATTATAAGCAACCGAGCAAGAAGTCCCCAAATAAATGACATTTAGATGGAATTGATATGAAAGAAATATAATCAAAGGTCAATATTACATTGAGCGGAGAAATGCATTTAGATGCAAATTAGAAAGCAGACGGGATGAGGTTCTATTTGGGGGGTCACCGTCAATTCGTCGTAAATCAATAGGCCGTACGTCAATTCGTCGTACGCCAATTCGGCGTAAAGTTAATTCATCGTATTTGTCAATTCGCCGTAAAGTCAATTTGTCGTACCCGTCAATTCGCCGTAAAGTCAATTCGTCGCATACGTCAATTCGTCGCATACGTCAATTCGTCGTGATGTAAATTCTTCGTATACGTCAATTCGTCGTAACATTATTTCGTCGTATACTTCAATTCGTCGTACACGTCAATTCGTCGTATTTCAGGTATCATGGTAAAATATTGAAATGTATAAATTTACACTGTCTAGTTATTTCAAACTTACCGATAATAACCCGGTTAGTTTGCAATTTTACAGACATTACATTGCAAACTAACCGGGTTATAATCGGTAAGTTTGATAATGTCTGATTAAAATTGCAAACTATTAACACGTTAATTCGTCGTATACGTCAATTCGTCGTATTGTTAATTCGTCGTATTTCAGGTACGATGTAAAAATGTATAAATTTGCACTTTTACTGTTCAATCGGACATTATCAAACTTACCGATAATAATAGACTGTGAAATAGGGACTGTTTAGTGGAGTCATTTTTTTTTTTACTGGCATTTTGAGGGCTGAATGTGGCTAGTAAGTTAATGAGAATATGGGTGATTTTAATGCCGGCCTTCCGTTCGAAAATTTGCAGAAGAAAAAAAATTATTTACATGAATTTTTTTTTTTTAATGATCTCAAGTTTTCTGGCTTCTAAATAAAAGATTGACATTGATAAATAATTCACCCATGAAAAATACCAGATGCTTTTCAATAGTTGAAAAAGTGGGGATGGATGTCAACTTCCAAGAGAAAAGAAAAGTACCTTCCGCGTTTACTTTTCGTCTGGCAATCGAGAGAATAAAAGGTTTTGTTGTGAAAATAACGCTGAAGAATCGCCAGACGGTAATCACAATTCGAAATCGAGTTTTCCGGCAAAACATTCTGTGGACATTTCGAACAGGGGGCAGGCATTAAAACCACTTATATTCTCATCAGCTAACGAGCCACATTCAGCTCTCAAAATGCCAGACAAAAAAAAATGACTCAACTAAACAGGCCCTATCTCAGGGTCTATAACGACGAATTACCTATATTGTTGTATACGGTACTTTACGACAATTCGGTATGATTGATAATGTCTGATTAAATAGAAAAAGTGCAAATTTATACATTTTAACATGAGACCTGAAATACGACGAATTAACGCTACGACGAATTGACGTATACGACGAATTGAGTTTGCGACGAATTGCCGTGTACGACAAATTGACTTTGCGACGAATTGGCGTTTACGACGAATTGTCTTTGCGACGAATTGACTTTACGACGTATTGACTTTACGACGAATTAACGTACGACGAATTGACTTACGACGAATTGACATAGACCCCTATTTGAGATGATGGTTGAAAAAATGGTTAAAAGTACCACACATTGAAGAACGACATTTGCTTCTGTCTCTTTTTGCCCTTGAGTAAGTAATACAAAAAAAAAATACAAATTGTAAATTTTCCAAAAATAAACCATTATACTATCAGAATTCTTTTATTAATGTCCCTATTGAGAGTAATTAATAGAAATCGGCACGTAATTAATAAATTCCCAAACAAAATTTATTATCAACTTTTACTGCCACTGTCGAGAAAAAAGCGTGCTATAACAAGCTAATAACTGTTATTCCGCTGCAATTAACTATGAATGATTAAACTCAGGACAACCTATAAACAAATACGCTAATTTAATATGCAAATTACATATAGCTACGCTTTTAAATGATGTCATTTCTTTTATATACGCAATGTCAGGTGTTCTATTATTATCATTGTGCAATTAGACATTTGCATAAAGTGAAAAAACGTAATATAAACTCCTACGTTAAAAATCAGGACCTTGATATCTTAAAGGTGAAGAAGTGTCACAACTGAATTTAACTTGCCATGCTACAGAAAGTACAGCAAGGCTTATGATGTCACAACATGTCAGTTTGTAACTCAGATACTTTTAGGTGTGTTTGTTTTTCTGCCATTATCGTGCTATGTTTTTGATGGCAGTAAATTTCCGTAAAGTAGGTATGCATACATGAATTTCCATTCACATTGAAGCCTGAGTGATTTTTGGTGCATGATAGTGGAAAACTCTATTAGTATCCAGAAACATTGCTTTAATTCAAATAGAACCTAAACTCAGTTCTCTCAAATGCAGCATAAATGTGTTAAGAATCAGTATCGTATAGATCAGTAAAGTCAGTTGGTCAGTTTTCACTGCGGATTCAACTAAAAACGCTTTTCGGTGTATTTGCAGCTAGTCAGTGCAGTGTAGAGTGTAGAATCTCTACGGATCTACAGCCTACAGCACAAACCAGAACCAATTTGTCAAATCAACAATCTCCTAATAATTACCACAGCTTTTAGTCGAACGTAGGGCCCCCTTTTGGCCTATCCGAACACTAGCTCTGTTAAAGCTCCTAACAGGTTGTTTGGTGCTAAAAATTGCACCAAGTCGGTCTACGTGTACCGCTACCATAAAATTTAAGTCAAATCATGGCAAACCATGGTACCCAGTTTTTCAGTATTCTAAGCAGAGCTGTAACGTTTGGACACGTCAAAAGTGGGCATCATACTCCACTAATAATATATCATTTTGTACACGTTTCCCCCGTTTTTTTTTTCTGCAAAAATATTGCCTCTCGCCAAGACAATGTCAAGTATTCAATTTACAATTTTTTCTTCACTTTAATAATTTGTAACCGAACCCAGTCTGCGTGGCTCTGCGCGCCTAGTGCCCCGGAGCAGTCAAATCGCAGGTGACAGTGATGAACGATTTAAGCGGTCCAAAGTGAGCGGGAAATCGAGGTCACTTGCTGCGTTTTTTCTCTTCATTCTGCATCAATTCTGTCCCGTACTGCTATTGCCGTAATAGAATAATTATTATACGAGAACGCTAATAAACAATGACAATCGATATTGGCATGTAAGTATGAGATTCATAGAGGATCTCCTCCATACTATTGTAGTATAACATACCCGGGTTCGTTCAGTAAGATTGAACGGTGTGAATTTTTATTTACGACTAATGTATAATGTGCGTATTATATTTGTGATTTTGGCAGTATAATGACATATGTTATTCCTCCAGGGATTAATGACGAGTATAGCGGGATTAATGGTCATTATTCCACAAAAGTGTCAGTGTCAAACGTGTAGTGCTTGTGGATTTGTATTAAAAA